TCCAAAGAAATTTTAGGCATAGACTGAATAAAAGATTCAGATGCAGTCTATCTTGATCTGTTGGTAGGAAATTTAGACTGTCAACTAAGAGGTCTTGAATTTAAAACTTACAAATGTGATGTGTGTATGAGTTTGTATTTAATTAGCTCAAAAATCTTAAAAAAATGAAATAAAAATTTCATAGGATGACGATGCTCTCTCTCTCTATCTCTATGAAATGATGAGTCACCACTTTTATTAGTGGGATGCTTCGAGAAGTGAGCAATTAAAATTTTGAAAAAACTTCATCTAATATGAAGCTCCCTCATTTCTTCAATTTTGTTTTAATTATTTGAAAAGTTTATTATTCATTATATAATAAATGTATATTAATACATCTTATTATTTAATATTTTCTTATCTTAATATTAAATTTGCACCGCTCATTAAAATAAATTAATTTATGCTGCGCTAATATGTATTTTATTTATTATTAAATCTTGTCTCATGCTTGACCAGTATTTTATTTTATTTTATTTGTTTGGCATATTTAGAAAAGAGATTTTCAGTCTTAATGTAATATATGTTAATTATATTTTTAAATATAAGAGATATATTTAAAATATATATATATTTTATCTTAGAATATTATAAAGATGATTTGTGATACTCTGAGTAGGATTTTTTTTACTAGAATATTTATGGTGATAGAAAGAATTTCACATCTGAATTTTGTAAAAAAAATCCACACACATAAATAAGATACATGCTTTTTAAACATGAGACAAGATTTAATAAATCTTCTTCAAAACACTGATGATAGTCTGTTGGGCGAGTAAATCATGTGGCGAACACGGAACAAGAAAAATATAAAATACAACGAAGAGAAAGTGCATCAGAATTTAACATGAAAAAACCCAAAACAAGTAAAAAATCATAGAGCCAGACCACAACAAGAAATTCACTATGAAAATTGGGAGAATTTTATGCAAATCTCTTTCTCACTCACTTTCTTCTTGCCTCTCTTCACCCTTGCACCATTCTCATACAAACAAGCAAAGATAAATATACAAAAAAATTACAAAGAGACGCAACCCTTAATGAAAAACGAGAAAGAAAACTACATGCCTATATCATAGCATCCTAGAAGATTTGAAGCGTCGTGACGCTCAACCCTCTGTCTCATGTGTGCTTGACAGCGCCACAATGACGAGGTTTGGAATGTCGCAGCATGGGGTGTCAAAATGGATTTTTGAGACATGGGCGGAAATTTGAACCTAGACCCGATTCGCCCCAAACTTGGGTCGACCCAACCCGATATGTTGACTCAGGTGCAGAGTAGGCGAGCAAGGGTGAGGACGGTGGGTTGCGGGGCATGTGAGCAGGCCTCGGGTACGATGCAGGTGGCAGGCTATAGTGCGCGTGTGGGAAAGTGTTAGTGTGCGTCGGGTGTAGGGTTGCGCACGGGGCCGCGACGCAAGCCAGGGGTGCTAGCTAGGGAAGCGGCGTTGCAGCTGGAATATAGGACGTAGGATGACAAGAGGAACATGCGAATCAGGGTCATTTCCTTGTCAAATTTGAGTTGTCGGGTCAACTGGAACCGACCAAATTTTAAAAACAAGTCAAAATATTAAATCCGAATCCGCTCCGTTTTACAAATAGATTAACCCAAACCTGAAATTTTATGATCGGGTCGAATATTGACACACCTAGTCGCAGCTCTTTGCTCTGTCTGTCTCCAAGCAAGCTACACAGCGTTGCAACGCTCATATTCACAATGTTGCAATGTTGTGCAGTTTTACATGAAAAAAACTTCAGTCGCAAAGCACCCGAGTGCAAGCAGGGGGAGGATCCCCAACAAACTCGACCAATAGAATTTAAATCTAAGGCAACAACAATACAACCTGATTGATTGACACAATTAAATTCCACACAAAACTAACAATTGAGTCCTTGTCCACTTCCAAAAAAAAAAAAAAAAAGTTATCACAAGTTTCTTGTATAAGATCTTTGTCCAAGTAATGATATGTCAATTTTTTTTTGTTAAATTTCTTACAGCATTCAAACTCTTGTCTTAGCTTCAACTTCTAAATCAACCGTCTCCTTCCCTTAAACTGTTCTATGACTTTCACTTCTCTATTTTTCTACCATAATTGTGCAGAGTAGGAATTGCATACCAACAGTCATTCCAGAAATTTTCTAGAGAAAATTATTTAGTGAAAATTTTTAAATTTTTTTTCTAGAGGATCTACACACCATGGAGATCATTTACAGGTTGAAGGAAATTGTCAAAGCATGAAATCATTCAATAAAGTTGATGTTCTTGATTTTTCTTGAAATATGTATATGCACTCCATCGACATGATCGATCATGCATATGCGTCATCTCCAACATGACTAATACATCACCAACAAGATTGATACACGTGATCGATGTTTGTCATTGCTAATAAGGCTGATGCATGCCATCAATGCTAATGTTCATGCAAGCCATCATCATCAAGATCAATGTCACCCGTTGACAACCACCCTGACTCTTGTAATCACCAATAAGACCAATGCATGTCGTCAAAACAAACATGATACATTTCATTGCTAATAAAATTTATACCTACCGTCGAAAATAATATCGATGTTTGTCGTCACTGATAACAGCATCATTATTCCCAACATCACCACCAATGTCGGGGCCTGATAAGGGCAAGCTTATGCTCTTCTTCGTAGTCTTTGATGTCTCATTCTCTAAGGAGAAGAATCAAATAGGACACCAACGATCTCTTAAAAATAATATTATCAATAATTGAAAACAATAACTATGCATCCACACGCAAAGTAAAATATTATTCTTTATTTTGTCTAATTTATTTTTTGAACTTTGCAATCATACTCTTAATTTATCATTCAATTTCAAAATAATTTGTTCATATCTAAAAGCGTGGCATGGCTCTAGTACACATAATATAAATGTCGTATTAAATTAATAAATACTTTAATCACATTGAAACCGTGCGGTCTTACTCGCGCGTGCCAATCCGCCGAAGATCAATTCTTGGTCCACTAAAAATTTCCGTATAATTCACGAAAAAAAATTTAAAAAAATCGTACAAATTATTTTGAAAACCATTAACACATTAAATATTACCCTAATTAATGTTTCATTAGACATTTACTAACGGAAAGAATTTTTCTTAGAATTATATATTATTTTTATTTTCATAGGATATGCGGCAATGCGGCATAATTAAAAAAAAAGAACTTTATATCCACATCAACTTTAAAAAAAATAATAATTTGAACAAAAAAAACCAGTTAGTTTTTTTTTTTATACGATTTGGGAGTTCCCAATTGTACTCGTCCACCAACCATGCTAAGTATCACTGGATGCCTCTTCTAGGTCAGCCGAGAATTAGTCAAGCCTCCAAGCACTCTTTTAGGGATGACATTGGATGGATACCCAGTTCCCATAAAGAAGTTTGTTTAATTCAAATTTATCTGTAGGTGACAATGAAGTCTTATAAAATTAATTATGAAAAATAGCAGATGAAGATGGAGAAGAAAGATAAAAGAGGAAGATAACTCTTTTTTTTTTTTTGGACATTTAGGCCATTTAAGGCAAACTCACACACGCAACGCATACACAGAGACTCGAACCTTAGACCTCTTAGTTGGAAGCCTTAGCTCTCAACCAATAGGCCAAGGAGAGTTGTGTGGAAGATAACTCTTTGACTTTTTGACTTCGTTTGGGATAACTTTTTATCACTTTTTTTTACAGTTTTCAAGATTTTTTGTATTATACAACTACTTTAGAAAATAATAAAAAAAATCAAACAAAACATTTATTATCATAAAATAAGAAGCTCAAGATTTATAAATTATTGAGTGTCCATATGCTTGCCCTATGATTGCCTATGTATTGATGAGACTAGATATAATGTTATATAAAAAAGTTATATTAAAATATAAAATGCATAAATGATATAATATAGCTTAACAAAATCTTGCTACAAAAAGAAAATACACTAATTATCTCCCACTAATTATATGAGATATATATATTAAAGTTTTTCAAGCATATGATGAACCCAAATGTATCGATTGATTGATCTACTCCAATCTGATAGATATATGAGATCAACATCTTTTAGCCAACTGAATTAACTCGAGCTCAACATGAGTAATTTAGGGGTTTCAATGACAATCGAACATATTTTTCTTATGGACATTGTGCTTCTAAATATAGGTTGAAGAAATTACAATAAATGCATTTATAGTAGTTATCATGTTTTATTATTTCACATAAATTACCAACATTTATACAAATACTTCATAGTTAAAAATCTCCTTCCTTCCACAAACCTCGAACACCTAATTAACTTTGTGTGCAATTTTATAAAAAAATATAAAGAAAAAATTAAAAAATAAATAATGAATGTGATATGATAACTTCAAATCTAAGCAACAAATCTCATCCAACGTCCTTTTTTGAAAATATTTAACACTAAGATATAAATTTAATATGGATGGATGAGATTTGATCTTAATAGCTTCGCATCCAACTTCAATCAACTCATCCTAAAACCATAAATAAACCATACAATATACACTTAATAAGATCTCCAATCCTCAAAAAAATATGGAACCATTCCAAATCACTCCCATCCCAGATACGCCCAAAGGCAAGCACAAAGAGATCAAACCCAAGATTTTGTCCTTCTCCTTGTCCTTTTTTGAAAATATTTAACACTAAGATATAAATTTAATATGGATGAGATTGATCTTAATAGCTTCCCATCCAACTTCAATCAACTCATCCTAAAACCATAAATAAACCATACAATATACACTTAATAAGATCTCCAATCCTCAAAAAAATATGGAACCATTCCAAATCACTCCCATCCCAGATACGCCCAAAGGCAAGCACAAAGAGATCAAACCCAAGATTTTGTCCTTCTCCTCATCGTTCTCCTCGCATTCCTCCTCCTCCTCCTCCTCCTCCTCCTCCAAGCTCTCCATATACTTCTTCATCACCTCCGTCTCCCTCCTCATCACTTTATTCCAAATCCAGCTACTAAAAAACCCCTTATCCCGCTCCCACCTCCTTTCTATCACCTTCCTCCCTCTCAAAGACCTCAACTTTGCCTCCACCCCCATGGACGGCAACACCTGGTTCATGAGTTCCCTCAACGACACCTTCGAAGATGGCGAAGCAGAGCACCTTCTCTTTCCCTCCCCTTCATCCCATCACAATCTCCTCTGCCTCTCCGGCAGCGACAGATCCAACGGCACTAAAAACTCCTACGCCTTGGCACCACGCCATTCCCTCCCAAATGGCGCCATGTTCTTCAAAGGTCTCACCTTTATCTCCGACAGCTATTACGATTACGAGAATCTGTGGCACGGGCTCGCTGCTATGGTGCCGTTCATGGCGTGGCACAGCACGAAAGGCTGCGAGAAGCCGGAAAGGTGGTTGCTTTACCACTGGGGTGAGCTCAGGGTTGGGATGAGTTCGTGGGTGAAGATGTTGGTCGAAGCGGTGATGGGAGAAAAGGTGATGATTGAGGATTTGGAGGAAACTGGGGGAGGTTCATTCTGTTTTGAGAGGGCGGTGGTGTTTAGGCATAATGAAGGAGAGATGGGGATGGAGAGGAAGAAGATGGTTTATGATATGATGAGGTGCAAGGCTAGGGCTTTTTGCAGATTGGGAAGTGGGGGAGGAGAACGCGATGGAATGGTGAGGGTAACGCTTTTGATGAGGAAGGGTGCGAGATCGTTTAAGGATGAGAAAACGGTGGTGAAGATTTTTGACAGGGAGTGTGGGAAGGTTGAAGGTTGCAGGTTGAAGGTGATCAGGCCAAATAATCTCACCTTTTGTGATCAGGTAAAGCGGCTCTTGGGTTAGCTATCTTTGTCTTTTGGTTAAAAATATGAGTTTCTCATGTTTGTAATTCATTTTATGATGATTTTAATCCAAGACAACGATAACATGTACCTGTAACAAGAAGTTCGTATCCAAGCAGGTGAAGCTCATGACAGAAACAGATATCCTGGCCTCCCCTCATGGAGCTCAGCTCACAAACATGCTCTTCATGGACAAGAACAGCGGAGTCATGGAGTTCTTTCCCAAGGGATGGAAGGAGTTCGCCGGCGTAGGCCAGTATGTTTTCCGGTGGATCGCCGATGCCTCTGGCATCAAGCACCAGGGACCTTGGCATGACAGCAATGGTGATGATCAATGTCCATATAATGACAACTCAAAGTGTTTCGGATTCTACAAGAACGGTCGGATTGGGCATGATGAAGCTTACTTTACCTATTGGACGGCCAAGGTTCTCAGGGAGATGAGGGAGTACAAGCTCACTGAGGAATACAGATATGCACAGCAGGAGCTGAGAGCAAGGAAATGCCTCTGTGCTAGCTAATCACCCAGGCTGGTCGATTGGAATTCTTCTCCTGATCAAATTTCAATGATTTGTGTTAAGTAAGAATACATGCAGAGAATCTACAGAAATAACATGAAACTTACCTTGAGTGCAGAGAAATAATGGGATTGGAGACATCATTTTTTTTTTCCTTTTTATGTCTCTTCATTCCCGATCCATTCCCTCAATTCTTCCAGACTTTCCAAGCTGTAACATCGACTGTATAGAAATAAAAATGTCCAATTTTTTGCATGTAAAGGTCCAATTTTTTTGCATGCATTCTAGAAATTTAATACATTGGAACGCAAAACTCTCATGGGAACCAGCTTTTGGGATTTTACGATGGCGAGGCATTTCAATTTTTGCTTCAAGAACAAAATATAAAGAACTTTTCCAGCAGAACAGTAAGATATCAGGAACTTCCAGATAATTAAGGGAAATCATGTAAAAGCATATTCAAATACTATAATAGCATATAGCGCAAAATGAAACTATTGTGACCAGATCTGCTATCTATGGCTCTGCAAATCTAGTTATTAAACTTTGACGGTCGAAAGACAAGCAAAACGAATCAAATTGATAGATTTTCACTTGAATGTCCCCTTTCATTTGAGCAGAATGAGCATTGTTCAAAAGCATGGCGAATGTTGTTTTCATGCGGCCACTGTAGGTGATTAATATTTTCACAGATTTATGGAAGAATAAGAAATAAAGACTGTGTTTTCTTTTGTAAATGAGTTAATACCACGCCAGTTGATGGTTGATTTAAAGCTATTTGATTTGGCTTCGTATGGGACGGCTTTCTTACTTCTTAAAAGAGTTTTACAAATATTATTATAAAATGCACTTAAAATATATTAGAATTCATGAGATTTAATATAAAACTTTTAAAAATATTATATCTCATTTTCTAATATAAAGCGATTCGTTATCATTTATCCACTAAATTTTCATTCTTTTTTTAATTTTATTATAATAATTATTACTTAAATAATAATCATTTTTTCTATTTCTTTATAACCTAGCCATCTCATGAGTTGACTTAGATTCGCAATATTAAGCTCGAGTTTGAACTCGATTAATTAATCAAGCTCAAGCTAAGATTGACTCCAGCTCGACTCGACCATGATAAGAATGCTCTTGTACCATTCTATTCATATGAAGTCTTAATGTCTAGTTGCCATTGATCTTGGCTTAACTAGCTAGGGCAAGAAGCCAAACGACTCATTTTCTAAAAGTTGCTTAATAAACTCAATCTTTATCTTTCTCTAATCGCCTCAATTGCATGCAGTCTGCATTTTAAATCTAATCAAAAGAACTTGACTGTTAATGGTTTAGGCAGTTTGGGTGCTCATCCACAAGTACTTCAAGGCTTTTGCTTTGTATAAATCCCTTGAAACCCCTCATACAATACCGCATAGAATCATGGATGGCTCAAATTAGGGGTGTCAATTCGGGTAAGCGGGTCGGGTTCGGGTTGAACCCGAAACTGACCCGGCACTGTTCGGGTCAACCCGACCCGACCCGTTTTTAAAAACGGGTCAGGTTTCCTGACCCGAACCCGACCCGATTCGGGTCCGAGTCAACCCGACCCGACACGAATGACCTGAAGTTGACCTAAAATTACTAATTTTTTGGTCAAAATCGGGTCAATATTCGATTTTCGGGTCAAAATCGAGTCAAAATCAAGTAAAAAACGGGTCAATCTCGGGTTTTCGGGTCAAATATGAGTTTTCGTGTCACTTTCGGGTCAATTTCGGGTTGCTGGGTAAACCCGAACCCGACCCGATTTTTAAAACGGGTTGATTTGCTCAACCCGAACCCGACCCGTTTCGGGTTCGGGTTGACCCGAACCCGGATTTTTCCGGGTCGGGTTCGGGTCGGGTTTCGGGTCGTGTCAAAAATTGACACCCCTAGCTCAAATTGCTTCAAGAAGAGTAGCCATTTTTTCCAACTCAATTGGATAGTTTATGCTACACTAATCTACATTATGCATAAGACTGCCTCATTTGAATAGAAAATCACCTTCCTGGTTGAAATGTTGTGGTATGACTTGAGCCGCGCTCAAACGACCGTGCCTCTTGGTATAAACGAGTTGAGTCAAGCTCTAGTCCCTCTTGACTTGAACTTGAGTTTTAATCTATGATTTCAAGCCAACTCACGAACCAATTAATTTATCATGAAGGAGAGAAAATGATTGTAATTTAAGCAATTAATAAAATAAAATGAGAAAAAGAATGCAAAATTATAAGAAAAATGATATAATCACTTAATATAAGAAAGTAAGATATAATTTTTAAATATTTTTTAAAAATTTATACATAATATCATGATATATTTTAAGTATAATTCAAGCGAGCCGGCTCACAAGCCAACGAGTAGAGTCGAGGTTAGCTCAAGCTTGACTCGTTAGCTCATAGAGTTTGGCTCACGAGCCATTTACCATTTATTGAACCAAGCCTAAATCAGCTTGACTCACTTGCATCTCTTATTGTGCCCTAGGACACAACATCTTTCATGCAACCCACTGGCACAAGGGTCTTTGCGGAGCGCACAGATGCATTTCTCGCATCGCACTATACAGCCTACAAAAAATAAAAAATTTTAAGTCATGCGTAAGAACCCGCCTACTCTCGAGAGCGAATACAATGATTCACGCAAGCCCAATAGATAGCCAAGGAAAAACATGGAACTTTAAGTAGTCAAATCTTGAAGAAATCTTCTCTTAAATCTAAGGCTTCATTTGTGACAGTTTTTTGTTGCTTTCTAAAACGACTTTTTAGTACAAAAATTTCTAATTCATGAAATTTTTGTACTAAAAAGATGTTTTAGAAAGAAACAAAAAAGCTGTCCCAAACAAAACCTAAATATAGCAACGGAGTTGAGAATTGCTAGCCTTCAACCAACATGAGGTTAATCCAGCTCTAGACCACGTTGTACCAAGACGACCCAAACCTACTACTTATTATCCCTTCCAAGCAAAGCCTTAGCTTAGATGTCATGACCCTGACATCAATCCCACTTTGCTCAAGGCTATTGCACCATGCATAGATAGCTTTTCCGCTCAAATTTTGAATAACTCCTTCAAATTAATTCTTCCAACGCTCATCTCTCTCTTCTAAACCTTCTAAGATCTAACCCTCTTTCTAGCCCCAAACTGTAACAAAGAGCCCAACAGGTCTCAGCTGGCATGGTTTAAAAGCCCAACATGAACCAATTCTGAGAGTAGAAGCAATTTTTTAGCAGCAGGAGTATATGGAGCTATTGCAAGGTTGTTCTATCCTTCTTATTTTATCTGCCTATTCCTATATTATGAAGAATTTAAGAATTTCTCTAATGATTTCTAATTCAAATCTCATTGAGCAGAAAATGAACAGCTCGATCTCGATCAGACTATTCAAAACAAGGCAATGTCGCATTATATCCGTTTGGTTTGGCTGTTTACTGCTTCAACTTCACGTATTTAGATGCAATATCAATGCGATTAGAACCTAGCATATATATATGTATTTATATTTCTCTTCATAAAAGATGTATTATTACTTTTCTCTGAGGTGAAAATAATTTATTCTGCAACGAGTAATTGATGGAATTGCTGTTAATTAGGGAAACTTATTTAAAAAACTGGTCCCCGAAGAAGAAAGAAATATATGGATTGAGCTCGAGAATGAGATAGAGAAGAACTGGGAAGAGGAGATCAAAGATGGAATTCGACGACAAGCTCTCCAACTTCACAAGCTGTATCAACAAAGAGCAGAAGGCATCAGAAAAACTACTTCAGCTGCAGAAATCAACAGAACCAATTATAGATCAAGCAAAAAAGTCAGTACAGATATAACAATAAGCATTAGAACAGGGGGAGGTTGCAGTATCCAAATACTTGAACAGAAAATTGACGACATTCATAAGGGAAGGCCGCAGAGTTCAAGATCGGAAACAAAAGAAGGCCGACCGATCTACACAGGAAAAAATTTTGATTGGTCACAAACTCTGCGTTCGGCTTCAAACAAAGTCATGGCTTTCAATGGTAGAAAGAATGCTCTAAGAAATGCTGAATATGAGTGGAAATTCTGAATGGTAAAGAAAGAACAAGCCTGAAGAGCCGGCATCAGATTAAGGCTAAAAGTTTTCATGTCATAATGGGTTTAACAGCATGTGTGTTAATGTGTGAGAGTGAGGGTGCAAATTCATCAGATTTTATAACTTAGTGCAAACAGTTTTTTTTTTTTTTTTTAATTTCTTTTTGACGAGATATTGTGAGCAAAAGATTGAGAAACACACCATGAAAATAATCTTACATCTCAAATTTAGACCAATAAAAAGTTTCACAAAGCACTTGTTGAATAGTATGAAAAAAAGTTAGGAAATTATCTAATAAATTTTCAGCATGAAAAATAAGAAAAATATGAAGGATAAAACCACATTTTTCAAAAACAATAAACAAAAGTCCCTGGAAGCCACAACGGATTTCCGCAGTCCAGTGGGATGGATGGAAAAGAGAAGTTTCATGCCATGATGATTCTATTTTGTTCTTTGTTGCAGCCATATGTATAGGTATTCCAATTTCATATCTATCATACTTCACTAATTAGACAGCAAATATACATATAGGAACTTAATTGAAATTACTCAACAACTTTTTATAGAAACTTAAAATAGCTGATATTTTGGTAATGCCATCAAGTCCTAAGAACTTAAGTTAATAATATTATTGGCACAAAACAGGAAAATACATTAAGTGGATAAAAGTTACAGGGTACTTACTACTTACTGCTCTTAAAAGAGAACAGGGAAACCACCATCTCCTGTCTTTGCTTTTGCACTACAAACATGTTTGCTATAGCAGGGCTTGGAACCACAGATGCGGAAATGATAAAATAGACCATGTCAAGTCTATGATGCACCTTCATTCAAGTGCATAATCATGATCCAAAGACGCACTAAAAGGAGTACTTTGCAGTTCAGATGCCAAAAATAAATAAAAAGAGCAAACTATTACTTTTTGCAAGAAATTATAATAGTACTAATC